TGAACATGCTATGTTTTTCCATTTGTTATCATGTTTAGCTATTTCTTTCCTTAGAGTTTCATGGTTGTCTTTATAGAGATCTTTCACATCCTTTGTTAGGTAAACTCCCAAATATTTCATCATCTTTGGTACTACTATGAAAGGAATAGAGTCCTTGACTGTTTTTTCAGCTTGGCTGCTATTGGTATGTATAAAGGCTACAGATTTATGAGTGTTGATTTTGTAACCTGATACACTACTGTATTCCTTAATCACCTCTAAGAGTTTTGTAGTCGAATCCCTGCAGTTTTCCAGGTATACAATCTTATCATCTGCGAAAAGTGAAAGTTTAATCTCTTATGACCCTATATGGATGCCCTTAATCGTCTTTTCTTCCCTAATTACGATGGCTAAAATTTCCATTACAATGTTAAAGAGCAGTGGGGACATTGGGCACTCTTGCCTGGTTCCTGATCTGAGTGGAAATGATTTCATTTTAACTCCATTCAGTACAATATTGGCTGTGGGTTTGCTATAGATGGCCTCTATCAGTTTAAGAAATGTCCCCTCTATACCAGTTTTCTTAAGTATTCTGATCATGAAGGGATGCTGGATATTATCTAAAGCTTTTTCTGCATCAATTGAGAGAATCATATAGTCTTTGTTTTGGTAATTTGTTTATGGGATGAATTATATTTATAGATTTTCATATATTGAGCCAGCCTTGGGATAAAACTCACTTGGACTTGGGGTATAATTTGTTTGATGTGTTGCTGGATTCTGTTTGTTAGGATTTTGTTGAATATTTTTGCATCAGTATTCATTAGTGATATTGGTCTATAATTTACTTTTCTTGTTGGGTCTTTTCCTGGTTTGGATATCAGGGTGTTGTTTGCTTCAGAGAATGTGTTGGGCAGTATTCCATCTTTTTCAATATTTTGGAAAAGGTTGAGTAATATAGGTACTAGTTCCTCTCTGAAGGTTTGATAGAATTCTGACGTGAAGCCATCTAGTCCTGGGCTTTTCTTTTTAGGGAGATTTTGTATAGTTGATGCTATTTCAGAACTTGATATAGGCCTGTTCAATATTTCCACTTCATTCTGGCTAAGTCTTGGGAGGTGGTGTGCTTCCAAGTATTGGTTGATTTCCTTCAGATTTTCATATTTCTGGGAATAAAGTTTCTTGTAATATTCGTTAAGGATTTTTTGAATTTCTGGGGGGTCTGTTGTTATTTCATCTTTACTGTTTCAGATTGATGAGATTAGAGATTTTACTCTTTTTTTCTTGGTTAGATTGCTCAAAGGTTTATTTTATTGATCTTTTCAGAAAACTGACTTTTTGATTTATTGATCTGTTATATAATCCTATTGTTTTCAATTTCATTTAATTCTGCTCTAATTTTGGTTATTTCTTTTCTTCTGCTGCGTTTGGGATTGGAATGTTCTTCCTTTTCCAGTTGCTTGAGATATCCCATTAAGTTGTTAACTTCCTCTCTTTCTGTTCTCTTGAGGAAGACTTGCAATGCTATAAATTTCCCTCTTAGGATTGCCTTTGCAGTATCCTAGAAGTTCTGATAACTCGTGTCTTCATTGTTTTGTTCTAAAAATGTGGTAATTTTAGATCTCCTTCTAAAGGTGGAGGATTGCACTGGTCATTGTGGAGGATAGGTTTGAGAATTTCCTGGAGAGCTGGTTTATTTATGGCAAATTTCTTCAACATTTGAATGTCGTTAAAGTGTTTAATTTCTCCTTCATAGATCCTAAATCTCCTTCCTTCTTGATCTCGTCTCTGACCCATCTGTCATTCAGCATAAGGTTATTTACCTTTCAGGTTTTTGTATGCATATGCAGATTCCTATTGTTGCTGAGTTCAACTTTTATTCCATGATGGTCTGAGAAGATGCATGGAATAATTTCTATTCTTTTAAATTTACTGAGGTTAGACTTATGACCTAAGATGTGATCAATTTTGGAGTATGTTCATGGACTGATGAGAAAAATGTGTATTCAGTTTTGTTAGGATGAGATGCTCTGTAGATGTCTGTTAGGTCCAAAAGTTGAATAGTTAAATTTAAATCTAAGATTTCTTTGCTAAGCTTCTTATTGAAGGATCTGTCCAACACTGCCAAAGGAGTGTTGAAATCTCCGACTGTGATGCAGCTGGGAGAGATCAAGTTGCTCATGCCTGTTAGAGCATCTCTTATAAATTGTGGTGCATTCTGGTTGGGTGCATAGATATTGATAATTGAGATCTCATCATATTGAGTATTACCCTTAACAAATATAAAATGGCCATCCTTATCCTTGCTTACTTTTGTTGGTTTAAACCCTATTGTATCTGCGAATAAAATTGCCACACCTGCTTTTTTCTGCTTTCCATTACCCTGGAATATAGATGACCATCCCTTCATTCTGAGTCTATATTTATCTTTTAAAGTAATATGCAGTTCTTGAATTCTGCAGATGTCTGGTCTGAGTTTCTGTATCAATCAGCCAATCTGTGCCTCTTTAGAGGACAATTTAAGCCATACACATAATTGAAATTATTGATAAGCCTGGTAAAATGTTGGGCTTCGAGTTGCTCAAAAGTCCAGTAGACATTTTTAATCCTTTCACCATTGTGGAAGTTGGAATTTGATCAAAAGCTTCTGAGTGAGTTTACTTTTGTGGTGGAGGATTGCACTGGTCATTATGGAGGATAGGTTTGAGAATTTCCTGGAGAGCTGGTTTAGTTATGGCAAATTTCTTCAACATTTGAATGTCGTTAAAGTGTTTAATTTCTCCTTCATAGATATCATAGATGAAACTCAGTTTAGCTGGAGACAGGATCCTGGGTTGAAAGTTATTTTGTTTTAGGAGATTAGAAGTCAATGTACATCCTCTTCTAGCCTGAAGGGTTTTAGCTGAGAGATCTGCAGTCATTCTAATACTCTTCCCCTTGTAGGTTACGGTTTTCTTATGTCTAACAGCTTTCATATTAACTTTAGTGAAGTTAATTATGATGTGCTTGGGGGATGTCTTACTTGGGTTTAGTTGTGCTGGGGTTCTGAAACTATCTGCTATCTGAATTTCAGAATCTCTTGGCATGTCTGAAAGTTCTCTTTCATAATTTCATGAAGAAGAGCCTCTGTGTTTTGTGAAGTTACTTTGTCGTCTTCCAGGATTCCTATAAGGCGAATATTAGTTTTCTTTGAATTATCCCAGAGCTCTCTGAGAGAAAGATCCGTTTTTGCTCTCCATTTCTTTTCATCTTTGAGTGCAGCCACCCACGGGTCTAGCAAGCAGTTCTGGGCCTGCCCGACCTGGGTGCCAGGAGCTAGGAGCGGGGAACTCGGGGGCTGCCTTTGGGTCTAGCAAGCAGTTCTGGGCCTGCCTGACCCAGATGCCGGGAGTGGGAAACTTGGTGGCCGCCTGTGGAGCACGCACAGGTCTAGCAATCAGTTGGGGGCCTGCCCACCCCAGGTGTTGGGAGTGGGAAACTCGCCGGCCACCAGCAGAGCGTGTAGGTCTAGCAAACTGTTCTGGGCCCGCCTGGCCTGGATGCCAAGAGCCAGGAACTCCGCAGCCACCCACGGAACTCACATGGCTCTTGCAGGTCTCAGGTCATGGGAGTGGGGATCATGCGTGGCTCTAACAGGTCTCTGGCTGCAGGGCCAGGACTGGGTGCTTGGTCCTGCAGCAGTGAGGGACAGTGCTCTTGGGCTCCCCGCTCACTGTCTCTGTAGGCAAGGGGGTAAGGGTGGACTAGAAGTTCAAAATGGCAGTGAAAAACGTTTATTCAGTTTTTCTGCCTGGTGAGAGAGTGTTCGAGATCTCAGCAGGGTCCCTCTAGGGGAGTAGACCCCCCCCTTCCTATACCTCTCACACGTGGGGTGAAATAATAGGTCCTCAGTTCACCGTTGGCTTGTAGAAAACCTATAGGAGCAGATGAAAAGAAAACAAATAGAAAAACACAACTTACTTGGGGGAGGGGACAGAGACTTTTCCTTTGAGGTGCATTATGTACCTGGAGATTGCTTTCTTGGAGTCTCAACTTGCCTTAGCAGAGGTGTCCTGCAGGTATCACTCTTCTCTCTTGCCTGAGCTCCCAATCTTCAATATTATTGGGTATTTTCCAGACATTATTCTTCCTTCTGGATGGGAGCTTCTGTCGGAAGCTGGAGTCTGTAGGCCATCTTGCCCCTCCCCCCATACTTTAGTATTTTCCCATGTAGTGTACCATCAAAATGACATATTCTGAAATTTGTGTTCATATACATTTATTATCCAAAATTGAAGAATAGAAAGTTAATGACTTTTATTGTGAAACTTAATCTCATCTAATTTTTGAATATAATGGATATAGTTATTGATTTAATAAGATTCTGAAACTTAGGATAATGTCTGTATAATTATCTTAATTTATATGCAGGTCTCAGTATACATATATCAGTAAGTTCTTTTTCGGCATTGGAAAGTGGTTTTTAAGTTATAATCACTCAAATATTTAATTCTTTTACTATGGGTGAACTATGGGAACTGAATGTTTGAGAAGACAAATTATATTATTTCCTCATAGAAAATTCTAGAAGGTTGATGTAACTAGTTAATTTCCCTGCATCATTTCTGCTTATACTAGTAATGAGGCAGGGTTTTTTGCAGAAAGATATTAACTTATTAAAATGTTTCATTAATCACTCAGTAGGAAAAGATATTTGTTTTGTAAAATAGAGTGTGTATAATCTCTAATACATGAACTATTCTTACATATATATTATCTTGGCAGAGTTTCTAAAACAAACTAAATAGCCTGTATCTTTGATATTTAATCATATTGAATAAATTCACATATTGAATTTAATCATATGTAATTTATAAAATGAATATCTCTTCTGAGAATTTTACTTTGAATAAAATAATCAAATATAATTTTAAATATATTAGTTTGTGTTTCAATTTTACATTGTATTTTCATTTAATTTAATAATTTCCTTTTCTTGTACTTTTTTGGTCTGTTGTCTGTTTTGTCTAATGCATGTCCAGGGTTCTAAGGTTAGTATTACTTCTGTAGTAATTTTCAGTTTCAAATTTATTTTTACTTATTTATAAAATTTTTGACTTGGTTATATTTTACGTTTCCATGTCATCTTCAACGTTAGATATATCCTTTGTATATTTAAAAGATTTTTTGAAAGGATTATTTTCCTAATGCTTGATGTATAATTATTTTATTGTTTGCACTAACATCTCTTTCATTATATTATTAAACTATTTTTAATATAATGAAACCAGCAGTATTACAGTCATATGTACAATCAGATTTTAATTTATTTCAATGAAAATAATTTGGAAGAAGTATATTATTTTAAGATTTAATAATAATTGTGAATGATCTTCATTTTTAAACCCTTTGTTATGCTATATAACAGGAGTCCTCAAATTTTTTAATAGGGGGCCAGTTCACTGTCCCTCAGATTGTTGGAACACCGGACTGTGGTTCCCAGGACGAGTCGGCTGCTAAGCAGGACAGGCAGTGGTGGCAAAAACACCCAGGGGGCCGGATAAATGTCCTCAGTGGCTGCATGTGGCCCGCGGGCCATAATGTCCGTAGTTTGAGGATGCCTGCTATATAATATCTCATCATGTTTATATATACTAATATTATATAGAGTATAATAAGAATTCTCTTTTAGGTTATTGTTTGTGTTAAGAATGCTTTTTATTTTTTTTTTCCAAAAATAACAGTTTGGCAGATTACATGGATGACTTAGTCATTTGGTTTATAATTCACTCATTTCAAAATAAAAGCAAATTTTGACAGACCAAAACACTCAAAACTATTAATAAACGAATAAAGCTATCTCACAATTTCAGTAATTCAAATTGATGATGAATTTTTTTGAGAATACATGCCTAGACCTATTTAGGGCTAATAATTTTAAAAATTATTCAGAATAATTGATGGAGCTATGCAATGGCATTACAGCACAGTCAAAATTGAAAACTGAGATTTAAAATGAATTTTTTGCCTTTTTTAATCAATTATTGTATCATGGTCATAGTTTTGTAAGTCATGCTATGAACTGATGCTATATATCCGTGAAGTGCTAGGAGATAAGGAATCAGCATTTAAAAATCAAAGTAATAAATTAATCATTTCTTTAGGCCATGAATATTACATTGGCACTAGTTGTAAATTAACAATTGAAATCAAATTTCTGTTTCCAAGTTTATTTCAGAGAGAATGGTTTTGACCCCAATTTGATGTAAAGTGGAAATAAGAAAGTTTGTTAGGTACTCTACTGTATTTGGGACTGCGTTTAGTTATCTAAGGCTTACAGTAGTAGTCACCTACTGGTTTCATTACCCACTTTGTACGCAGGAAATTTTTGAGTGTTTTGGTGGTGGTGTTTTTTTCTTTAGTCAGTGTTTTCTACTCACATTTTCATGTTAATGTTCCTGCTTCTTCCAAGCAGGAAGACATGTAGGTAGAAGGATGGATATCAACAATGTCAAAATGGAACATTAACTAGGAGCAGATTCCCATTACATATGCTCACCTTATAGTTGACTTTATCATTTGGTTAAGAGGTAAAGTTAATCAGCATGGCTAATGTGCCCATTTTCAGAAAATTTAAACAATAGATTTTTAAAATTTATGAAACAGTGCTTATTTCTTTCCATTCTTTGAGGTGATAAAGAATTGCAGCTTAGTAATAAAGAACAGAAATAATTAAAATATTATATAGTACATAGGGAAAAAATAAGAAATGTTGCCATTGACTACAAAGTTGGACATTTTCAGAAATAGAATACTTTGTAATATTCCCTCTGCATCAGGAAATCCTGTTTTATTATAGACAATATTTTAGTGGTAGTGCAGCTTCTTATCTTAAATGCTTTTGAATTCTCCTATTGCTAGTGTTTTATAGATCATGAAGTCAGTATCTGTAGGTGAGTTAGGGAACATCTTAATTATTTGAAGTATAGAGTTTTTTTGTACATTTGAAGTACTTACTGGTTTTAGTTTATTACAAAATAGATAAGATATTGTTATGCATTCTAATTTGATAGCCATCTCATTTTGATGTCATTGTAATTACCATAAATCTTTCTTCTTATTCTTCATACATTTATAGGAATGAAAATTTAAATCACATATTTTTATTAATAAGAATAAGGATTTTAAGAAAGAAATATCAAGTTTATATCTTTGTAAATTGATAAGATAAAACAAAACTAGTATAAGTACATACATATGTGATCATTTCTCAATATCTTTGTGAAATGATCTTAAGTTTAGAATGTAGTTTTTACAACTAAAGATATTTAAACTTAATGTTGATTTTAAAATAGACTTTTCCTTTAAGAATAATTGATAGGTAAACTATTATGACTAAATTTGATAATTAGCTCCAGTGATATATGGAATTAGTTTATAATTTAGTTTACAAAATATAGTAAGTATACTAAATGTATGTGTGGTATACATGCATTATGTATATAATATACTAAATAAGATTTAAATCTTCTACTTTTTTAAAGACGGAATTGGAAAATATTGAAGTGACACAAGGCATGTCAGCTGAGACAGCAGTCACTTTCCTCAGCCGACTTATGGCTATGGTTGATGTACTTGTATTTGCCAGCTCTCTAAATTTCAGTGAAATTGAAGCTGAAAAAAACATGTCTTCTGGAGGTTTAATGCGGCAATGCCTAAGACTAGGTAAGTATGTTAGGAATAGAGTGCACATTAAATAGTAACCCATAGATTATATTTTATGAAGCTCTATGGTACATAAAATATTGATGATATAAGTTGATGATTATATAATTCAGAGACAATCTGGTAAGTCATCAGAATTACCAAATCCAAAAACACTGTATCTTTCAATTAGAGATTTCACAGAATTGATAATTTTTAATGGTTTATAACTTAAAATAGAGTAAAATATATTTAGAATTCTTTCATGAACAGTAAGATTAACACTCCTCATTGAAATGATTTTAGTTGAAATCTGTATATAAATTTTGTTTTGGTAAACTGATACCGAGGGTAGTGTCCTAGGCCCACAAATCTATCAGAAAATGAATAATATAGTCTTAAACATACAATGCTAGAAGGATGAAATTACCCAATATCAGTCACTATCAGAGAGAGCAGATATCCCTAGTAAATATTATTGTGCCTGTGCTGTTTATTTTTTATTTTGTGTGGCAAAGAAAATTTAGCACAGAAAATTCTTAGTAAATTGGAATGAATTCTTTAGATAAAAGCCGTGTTACCCCTCTAAAAGGTAGCATTTATATCATTGACACCTTCCAGCCATCCGAAAGCTACTCTTTCCATACTAGCAGGGAGCGTGACGTCAGAGTGCAGGGCGCGGAATGCCACCTTCTTGATAATGCTCTTTCATCTGTAATTTTTACAGCGTATATTTTTAAAAACTACCACTATAGCTGTAGGGGAGAATTTGTTTCTGACTCAAGGGAGGAACAAGGACTTGGCATAAGAATGATGAAATGAAACCTACTCTATACTTTAAAGATAAGCTAATTGAGAGAAATTATTTCATATCTGTTACAGGCGAGGGATTGGTAACAATGGGATCTTTCTGACAACCAAGAAGGTTGATAGACTGTGGGCCATCAGGGGCATTTCCATTGATATTTAATAGTGGCTGCCAGATTGAACTTTGTGAGAAAGATTATATGTATATATATAATTAAATGCCTCAAAAGCTTAAAACCAGTATTTACTTGGGTTGTTCTGAGCTTCTTTTAAAAATTTATTTTAAGACTTTACTCCTGATTTCATTTTTATACCAATAATACCTAGCAGATTTAGATTTTTTTTTATCTAATGTCTAGCAGATTTTGTTTTGTCAACCACATGAAACTTTTAAAAGTGAATAATAATTTAAAAAAATTATATATCACCTTGTATGCTATTTACTGTTCTAAGAACTTATCAAGTATTAACTCATTCCTCAAAACAGCCCTCTAAGGGGGTTACTATGTTTATTCTTATTTGTTACATGTGGAAACTGAGGCACAGATAGTTTAAAGCCTGGTGCAAGGCCACATAGCTCACAACTGGCAGAACCAGGGTTCAAACTCAAGTGTTCTGATTTCGAAGTTTGTCCTGCTTATTAGGATATTGCTTCTTAACATAAATGAATAAATAAAAGGCTTGTTTATATCGAATGCTTATTGACACAGCCCATGGACTCTCCTATTGTGAAGAAAGGTCTTGAGAGACTTGAGTATATGGATGAAAGTGCAGATTTGTGGTGAATATCATCACCAAGATAGTTAAATTAAGAACAGAAACTTAATTATGTAAATTTTTATGTGATGTGAATTTTAAGCTTTAAAAGATTTTTATTGATCCATAAAAATCAGAAGTGGGCCAGGCATTGTGTCTCTGGCTATAATCCCTGCACTTTTGGTAACCAAGATAGGAGGATTGTTTGAGGCCAGGGGTATGAGACCAGCCTGGTCAACATAGCAAGACCCTATCTCTATAAAAAATTAAAAAAACATTATCTGGGTATGGTGGAATGTTTTAGCTACTTGGGAAACTGAGGTGGGAGGATTGCTTGAGCCTAAGAGATTAAGTGAGCTATGATCAGACCAGCTTACATGATAGAATAAGACTCTGTCTCAAAAAAGAAATGAGAAAAATGGAGGTTAATGAAATAAGGAAGGATATATTGAGAGCTTCAGAGGCCCTGGTAATGTTTTGTTTCTGCAGGTGGCTGGTTGTATACATATTGTGTTTCTGTTTTTAAAGAAATATATATTTTTATATATACTTTCATTCCTGTATTTCATAATTTTAAAAAATATTTGTTGATCTAATAGATCTTAAGAGTAGTAATGGATGGAGCAAGGGAAAAGAAAGGGAAATATACTAGCAACTGTTGTCAATATATCAAAGTCAATAACTTGTATTGCTAATTTATTTTTGATTTTCAAATAGTTTGTTGTGTTGCTGTGCGAAACTGTTTAGAGTGTCGGCAAAGGCAGAGAGACAGGGGAAACAAATCTTCCCATGGAAGCAGCAAACCTCCAGAAGTTCCCCCAAGTGTGACTGCTGCAGCAGCTTCAAAGGTAATTAAACATGTTTTATGTGAAATACAGTTTACCTGAGAAGAAATATTTTTTGAGTTCATTAAAACAAAACAACCTAGTCTTGCTCAAATGATCAGAGCAAGGGCTTTGTAGTTAGACAGCTCTAGACTCTGGTGCTCCTCTTTTTCCTCATAATTGTGTTATAAGATTAACTTCTATGAGGCTTGCATGAAGATATTAGCAATGTCTACTTTATGGGATTCTTATAAGGATTACATCAGCATATAGCACTAAAAATTTCTTAGTTATTTCTGTTTTTAATAGTTAAATATATTTTCAGAGTGCAGTGTATGGATTCTTTTTTTAAATGGATGAGCTTTTGGTGGTAGACATAATACAAGCTGTCCTAAAAGATACCCATAAAGTCACCATCCATAGGGGAAAGTGGGAAGTTATAGCTAGATGTGCCTTTATTTACAAATATTCTTTACAAAATTTTATTTAAAAGATGGTCAAAACATAGAGAATATTTTGTAAATATTTTAGAAAAGTTTGTAATAAATATTTTGTAAATAATGGTACATTTAGGTACAATTTCCTATTTTCCCTTATGTATGGTAACTTTATGGGACACCTGGTAGTCAAGAAACATTTATCAAATGCCTATTAAATGAGTGAATAGTGTAGTGTTTTGGAATGTACGGGTTGTGCTCATTGGAAATTAGGTCTCTTTATCGCATGTTTATCTGACTCTTGACATCACATCTAGTTTTGTTATCATGATGTTAAGGGTCCTGTATGACTGGTCCTTGCTTATTTCCCCAGTGGCAGCTTGATACTTTCCTCATACTTTGCATCATATTAATAATACTACAGACTTCGTTCAGTTCATCAAAAAAACTTTTTTTAAAAAAATTCTTTGACATTTCCGTAGTGTTCTCTCTCTGTCCTCTTTGTGTGACAGGGTTTTGCTCTGTCACTCAGGCTGGAATGCAGTGTTGCTCCACACTTTACTGCAGCTTTTAACTCCTGAGCTTGAGCAGTCTTCCTGAGTAGCTGGGACTGCAGGCTTACACCACCATACCTGGCTATTTCTTTTTATTTTTTGTAGAGACAAGATCTCACTATGGAGTTCAGGCAAGTCCCAAACTCTTGGCCTCAAGTGGTCCTCCTGCCTTGCCCTCCCAAAGTGTGGAATTCTAGGTCTAAGCCATAATGCTCATTTTACATAGCTTCCTTTACTTGAAAGGTTCATCCTGGTTGGGTTTTTTTTTGTTTGTTTTGTTTTTTTTTTTTAACCCAGCTAAAATATATTCAACTTTTAAGTTACCTTAAGTGTTACTTGCTCATGAAAATATTTTCTGACACCCTCCCCGTCTCCCTGGCCTAGGGTAGGTTCTGTTTGATGTTTTTATAAAACACCACATGTGTCTTTTCATTCACTATAGATGAAATTGCTTGTCTAATATTGACACGGTAATTTTTTGCTCAGTAAGTGAAGGCATGAGTAGAAGTTTAATTTATTTTAAAAATGCTATGGCTTTAAAATGCAGTAATTTTCAAGCAGAACAACCACATTACTGATTGGATCTGTTAATTGTTTACAATATGGCAGCCCCTCTTATTTTCCACTCCCATTAGGGAAATATTCATAGAAGTAATTTGACCTTGTATTGTTTTGTTGGTCACTAGATGCCACAGGGTTCTTCATTGCTTAGGAAGTTAGATTTAAATGCATCAACAATAATACCGCATATCATTTGTGCAGGCATAGCAGACTGCAAGTTACTTTAAGGCAATGCCCATATCCTGTACATTTTTGTAACTTCAGAGCATTTATAGTGCTGTGAATTAAAGATCACAGACCCTAGAATCAGCCACTTCTAAGTTGTGATTCTGGCTCTAACACTACTAGGTTTGTGACTTGAGACAAATAGTTTCCTGTACCTCCATTATCCAGTCTTTAAAATGCATACAAATCATAATTTATAGGACATTTGTATCAATTAAGAAGAGGCAATACTATATTAAAGTGCTTAGTGATTCCTGACAAGTAGTGAACATTCAATTATTACTCATTTCCCCTCTAGCACACTTTGCCACTAAGTATATACTTAATGAAATAAATAAATAAATTAGTAATTTTTGTAAGCTTAGAATTGAACAGTATCTGCAATTAATTCAGTAGAAAATAGGAAGTCTTTCAAGATTTGTTACATATTACTCTAATTGTAGAATGTGGACAGAGAAGCCCAGTGGAGTAATTTAGTTGAGCTGATTAGTATCTCTCTTGCAAGAACTTTGGCAGTAAAATATGGTTAAGACGGGAAAAATGTGAAAATATTAGGGAAATATCTGACGTGATAACAAACAACATTTCATGAAGGAAAATAAATGGACCTCAGAGACAATTTTTCTTCTTCCCTGTGTTTATGCATTTCTTACGTGCACTTTAGTAAGAAAATCATAATTAATATTTTAGAGACACAGGGAAAGTTTCTTGCCACTAACCTGTGTTGGACCTGCATGAGCTTTTCCTATTGTGTAGTCTTATAAGGATCAAATTAGATTAGGGATATAAAGAGATATCTTGTAAAATAGAAAATGGTATATAAATTAAAATATTTCTGATTTTGCCTGTACTAATACTATAAATTCATCTGTGCTATAAATTATATTATTTTCATTAATCATCCTATGATAAATATTATTAGCTTATAACTTAGATGATATAGCTAAGGTTCAGAGAGGTTACGATCTCACCTAAGGTCATATAGTTGGTAAGTTTTAGAATTTTAATGGAAACCAAATGACTGTCAACCTTCGAATACCCTTTTTATCTAACTGTCCTATACTGTAAAGGATCAAACATTTTAATTTAGGAGTGAAATATCACGACTGACATCCATTGAAAAGTAAAAGGTAGTCTGTTTATTTTTCACTGGCTACAGTACCAAATAAATACATACTTATTATAAGTTGCATTTGGCATTATCCTTAACATGTTATAAACATGAGAACGTCCTTGCTTGAATTTTAAGAAATCTGGCTCAGTCACTGGTTTACTATGTGACTGTATTACTTAAAATTTGTTGGTTTTTTTTTTCTTTAATGATAAAAAGAGTTTTGTTGGTAATGATCTTTAATGTCTTTCAGCTTTAATGTGCTGTGACTTGAATTTTTTTTAAAGCTTACCTTTTCTAACATTTTATGTATCATGAAATGGTTATACATATAAAATCCTATTGTCTAGTATAATGTGACAATTTCATATAATAAAAATAAAACCAGAGAGTTGTTAACTGAAGGTAGGAAAAGTGAGCCTTAGGAAATTTTAGTTTAACAAGCTCAAGGTCACCCAGCAAAGACTTGAGCCCAGATCTTCTGAAATCCAAGATCAGTCTTTTTATCACAGTTCTACCTGCTTTTGTGAGTTTATAGTGGTAGTTAGGCTGATAAAGGATACCAGTAAGAAAAACTGTGACATGACTAGAGGAGAACAGAAACTGTGTCTTGTAATAGATGATTTTTTTCAATAAATGTTAACTCATGCAGGTAAATGGTGTGGCCAGTTTAGCCTAAATTAAAGATATCAGAAGTGATACTTATATATAATTTTCTGCAGTATACTATTTCCTTATAATTCTTTTTTTTTTTTTTTTTTTAAAGACTCCATTAGAAAGCGTTCCAGGTAACCTTTCTCCTATTAAGGATCCTGACAGACTTCTTCAGGATGTCGATATCAATCGCCTTCGTGCTGTTGTCTTCCGGGATGTGGTAAGTTATGCTTGGCTTCCCTGAAAAAGCCCTTCCACTGTAATTTGTGTGAAATATTTTAAGTTGCATATTAAAACTCAATGCTCTGGTGTCTCAGTTTCTGAGTATAGTATATACTTCTGACTGTAAAATGATTGAGCCATACCATTTCCTGAAAGCTTATTGATACTATTTTTTTTAAAGTGGGATGAATGCTGATATAATTTGTTTATATATTAAGAATAGCAGTAGCCTAAAAAATTAAAATTCACTTTACCTCACATTACTTACTCTTCTCTCTTAGTATTACTAGTTCCATTTCTAGATACTGAATGTTTTGTTCTTATTAATGTTCCTTATATTATAGATGAAAGAGATTAGTTAATTAGCTGTTACTGGCAATTACTTCTGGGGGGGCAGTTACTTTTTAATGAAGAATCTGCATTTTCAAAATATAGCTATTGCTGGGAATTTGAGTTAGAAAGATAGCTTAATAAAGCTTAAAGGAAAAGGCAGCTTAAGGAAAAGTTTTCATGAAATGCTCTAATCACATGATTATTTTCCGAAAGTAAGTAAAAATAAGATTGGTTTTACTGTAAATTGTATACAAACATATTTGTTATTTCACGGCAACTTCAGGATTTACAATACTCCTTAATATGTTATTATAAACTAGCCATACTGAATTCTATTTTTTTATTTTCGTTAATAATTTGTATTTAATTGATAATTTGCATGAGATATAGAAAAAGTTTATTTGAAATTTTATATTAAGCAGCAACTTAGGTCAAAGATGGTTACTTCATATTGATCAAGGGAAAAATACAACAAGAAGACATTTCAATTCTAAATATTTATGCACTTAAATGCTCCTAGATTCTTGAAATAGACCTTAATTAGTCTGAGCAATATGATATCCTATAACACCATAGTAACAGGGACTTTAACACTTCTCTCACAGAGCTGGACAGATCCTCTAAACAGAACTTAAACAAAGATAAGAGACTTAAATGAGACCCTAGAACAAATGTGCTTGATAGACATACATCGAACACTCCATCCCAAAGGCTAAGAATATACATTCTTCTCATCGCCCCACAGAACATTCTCCAAATTGATCATATCCTAGCACACACAAAAAATCTCAACAGAATGAAAAGAATTGAAATTTTACCTTGCATCTTCTCAGACCACAAGGCACTAAATGTGGAACTCAACTCCAACAAAAATGTTCAACCCCACACAGAGGCATGGAAATTAAACAACCTTCTGCTGAATGACAGTTGGGTGCAGGAAGAAATAAAAAGGAAATGTTAATTTCCTTGAGCATAATCACAATAAAGACACAAGCTACCCAAACCTGTGGGATACAGCAAAAAGTCCTACGAGGAAAATTTATCTCTTTAGAAGCCTACTTTCAAAAAACAGAAAGAGAACGCATCAACAAACTCCCATGCCATCTTATGAAATTAGAAAAAGAACAATCTAAGCCTAAACCCAGCAGAAGAAAAGAAATATCCAAAAATTAAATCAGAGATTAATGAAATTGAAAACAAAAGAATGATTCAGAAAATTAATGAAACAAGGAGTTGGTTATTTGTTGTTATTGTTTTCTGGTTTTTTGGTTTTTTTTTTTTGGCCAGCGCTGGGTTTGACCTGCCACCTCTGTTATGTGGGGCCAGTGGCCTACTCCTTTGAGCCACAGGTGCTGCCCCCACAAGGAGTTGGTTCTTGAAAAAACAAATAAAATTGATGAACCTTTGGCCAGACCAGCTAGAAATAAAACAGTAGAATCTCTAGTAACCTTAATTAGAAATGATACAGGGGAAATACCAACTGATGCCACAGAGATACAAGAGATTATCTCTGAATATTACCAGAAAATCTATGCCCAGAGATTTGACAATGTGAAGGAAATGGATCAATATTTGGAATCAAACCCTCTCGCTAGATTTAGCCCAGAAGAAATAGATCTCCTGAACAGGCCAGTTTCAAGCACTGAGATAAAAGAAACAATAAAAAATCTCCTAACAAAAAAATACCCTGGTCTGAACAGCTTCACACCAGAATGCTATCAAACCTTCAAAGAAGAGCTTATTCCCATACTGAAGAAATTATTCCAAAAAATTGAGGATGAAGGAATCTTCCCTAACACGTTCTACAAAGCAAACATCACCCTGATACCAAAATCAGGAAGAGACAAATTTCACTAATGAATATAGACACAAAAATTCTCAACAAAATCCTAGGCAATAGATTGCAGCTTATCATCAAAAAAAGTCATACATCATGATCAAGTACGTTTCATCCCAGGGATGCAAGGCTGGTTTAACATATCCAAGTCTATAAACGTTATTCACCATATCAACAGAAGCAAAAACAAAGACCATATGATCCTCTCAATAGATATAGAAAAAGCATTTGATAAAATCCAGCCTCCTTTTCTAATAGGAAAGGTGTAGGTGGCACATTTCTTATACTGATTGAAGCTGTCTATCACAAACCCACAGCTAATATTTTACTGAATGGAGTTAAACTGAAAGCTTTTCCACTTAGAACTGGAATCAGACAAGGTTGTCCTCTGTCACCATTACTATTCAACATAGTGCTGAAGTTCTAGCCAATACAATTAGGCAAGACAAAGAAATAAAGAGCATCCAAGTGGAGCAGAGGAGGTCAAACTCTCCCTCTTTGCTGATGATATGATGTTATACTTAGAGAACCCCAAAGACTGAACTACAAGACTCCTGGAAATCATCAAAAAATGGGCTCGGAGCCTGTGGCTCAAGTGGCTTATACACCAGCCACATACACCTAAGGTGGCGGGTTCAAATCCAGCATGGGCCCTCCAAAACAACAATGATGGCTGCAACCAAAAAACAAATAGCTGGGCGTTGTGGTGGGCACACAGGAGACTCACTTGAGCCCAGGAGCTGGAGGTTGCTGTGAGCTGTGATGCCATGGCACTCTACCCAGGGGGACAACTTGAGGCTCTGTCTCAAAAAACAAAACAAAACAAAACAAAACAAAAAACCCAGTAATGTCTCAGGATATAAAATCAATGTCCACAGTCAGTAGCCTTTGTATACACCAGTAACAGCCAAGATGAGAAACTAATTAGGGACACAACTCCCTTCACCATAGTCTCAAAGAAAATGAAACCTAGGAATATACCTAACGCAAGAGATGAAGGACCTCTATAATGAAAACTATGAAAAAAATGATTCTGCATTTTGTATGGAACCAGAAAAAAACCCATATAGCTAAGGCAATTCTTAGTAATATAAAACAGGGTGCATCAGCATACCTGATTTTAGGCTGTACTACAAGCCTGTAGTGGTCAAGACAGCATGGTACAGGCACAAAAATAGACATAAGACATTTGGAATCGAATAGAAAACCAGGAAATGAAACTAACATCTTACAACCACCTAATCTTTGATAAACCAAATAAGAACATACACTGGGGGAAAGACTCCCTATTCAATAATTGGTGCTGGGAGAACTGGATATCCATATCCAAAAAACTGAAACTGGACCCACACTTCTCCCCACTCACAAAAATTGATTCAAGATAGAAAAAGGACTTAAATTTAAGGCATGAAATGATAAAAATCCTCAAAAAAATCATAGTAAAAACACTAAAGAATATTAGCCTGGGGAAAGACTTTATGAAAAAGACTGCCATGACAATTGCAATAATAACCAAAATAAACAAATGGGATTTAATTAAACTGAAAAGCTTCTGTACAGCTAAGGAGACAACAACCAAAGCAAATAGACATCCTACACAATGGGAAAGGATATTTGCATATTTTGAATCAGACAAAAGCTTAATAACTAGAATATATAGAGAACTCAATCCACATGAAAAAAGCCAACAATCCCATATATCAATGGGGAAGAGAGATGAACAGAACCTTCTCTCAAGAAGACAGAGGAATGGCTAACAAACATATGGAAAAATGTTCATCATCCTTAATTATTAGAGAAATGCAAATCAAAACCACCCTGAGATATCATCTAACCCCAGCGAGAATGGCCCATATCACAAAATCTCAAAACTGCACATGCTAGCATGGATGTGGAGAAAAGGGAACAGTTTTACACTGTTTTTGAGACTGGAAACTAATACAATCTTTTTGGAAGGAAGGAAGGATGGAGAAACCTCAAATAACTCAAGCTAGACTTCCCATTTGATCCTGCAATCCCATTACTGGGTATCTATCCAGAAGGAAAAAAAAAAAAAAAACCCTTTTATCATAAGGACACTTGGACTAGACTTTATCGCAGCTCAATTTACAATCACCAAAATGTGGAAACAGCCTAAATGCCCCCCAACCCAGGAATGGATTTACAAGCTGTGGTATATGTACACCATGGAATACTATTCAGCCATTAAAAAATTGGAGAATATATAGCATTCATATTAATCTGTATGAAAGTAGAACACATTAAAGCATCACAAGAATAGAGAAGCATGAATCCTATTTATTCAAATTTGATATGAGGACAATTAATGACACGGTCGTGATGAGGAAAGGGGAAAGCAGAGTGAGAGAGAGAAGGAGGAAGGGGGTGGGGTCTCAGTGTGTGACACATCTCGTACCCTCAATGAATCCCCAACAATAAAAAAAAAGAAATTTATTTTAAGCAATAAATTGAATGGAGTGCTTTTTACTTTACAAAGTAGTTCAAGTGTATTAAGTCATATGGAATAATGCTGCATGGTAGGAATATACAGAAGATTAATTATGTTGTAGGTGTGTCCTGTGTCACCCACAGAGTGTGCAGTAGGCCTGTGCAAGAAAAACTTGTACTCTGTTTAATATACAGAGTGTCCATAAAGTTTATGTGTGATTTAAACTAGTTGTCTGTCTTAAATTGAAAATTGCACATGAACTTTATAGAAACCCTATATATTAGTTCATATGAAACACTAGGAAAATTATAACATACCAACAGAAAAATAGGCAATGGATATAAAACACAGAAACATTATAAAAAGTCACTAGCAGTAG